AAAAAGTAAAAAAAGAAAAAGAAAAGAAAAGAAATAAAATGCTCTCAGAAAAAATCTAAGTTTTTTTTAAAGATTTATTTATTTATGCATACAAGAACTGGGGTACAGGCCAGAGGTGTGGGAATGTGAGAGGTTTCACCAGAGACAGAGTGGGGAGCAGAACAGGCAGACTGACTAAAAATCACTGCTGAAGGGAGCAGCAGGCGAGTCAGGAGAGGTCTGCTGCGCTATGTGGGTTGCTCCCTGGCTGGCTGGGGATCAAACTCGTGCTGCAGAGGCTTCCAGATTACCTCATAGTGCTGTGCTTAACCCCTTGTGCAAACAGAGAGGTCCCAAAAGATCTAAGTTTTTAATACAATTATAAATGGGGTTGTTTACCTAACTTCTGTTTCTGCTATCTCACAATTTGCATATAGAAACAATGTATTTTTGTATATTAGTTTTGTAGCCTAATATTTTACTGTACTCATTTATTATTTTAAATAACTTTTTACTGAAGTATTTGAGATTTTCTATGTATATTGCCAAGACATCTACAAATAGTGATAGTTTTACCTCTTCCTTTCTAGTTTCTATATTTTTATATTCTTTCCTAGTAGAATTGCTCTTTGCTAGGACTTCCCCCACTATATTGATCAGTTGTGGTGAGAGTGGACATCCTTGACATGTTCCTGATCTTAGAGGAAAAACTTTCAGTTTTTAGTCACTCAGTATGATGTTGACCATAGATTTGCCACATAAACCTTTGTAATGTTGAAATACTTTCCCTCTATTTCCACTTTTTTGTGGGTGTCTATCATAAAAGGATATTGAATCATCTCAAAAGCTTTTTCTTAGTCTATTGAGATGATCATATTATTTTTGTCCTTTTTTTTTGTTGATAGGGTATATCATGTTTATTGATTTGCATATATTGAAGAAATAAATTCTACTTGATCATGGTGTATGATCCCTTTAATATACTGTTGAATTTAGTGTGTTAGTATTATTGAGGATTTTTGCATTTGTGTTCATCAGAGATACAGATTTGAAGTTTTCTTTCTTATGATGTCCTTGTCCAGGACAGGATCAGGGTAATAATGTTAGCTTCATAGAATGAAGTTAGAAGTTCTCCCACCTTTTCTTTCTTTTTTTTTTTATTTATATCTTTTACATCATTGTGTATTCCCCATAATGGAATACTATTCGGCAATCAAAAAAGATAAACTCATGCCATTCGTAGCAACATGGATAGCGCTAGAAGGGATCTCCCACCTTTTTATTACAGAAGAGTTTGAGAAAAGTAGGCATTATTTTTTTATTCTTACTTTTTTTATTTTAATTTTTTGTTTTTTACATCATTGTTCATTTTTAAACAATATTTGATTGCCCCCACCCCCTCAGGTATAGTCCCCATAGAATTTCCTTCACCAATGCACCTGAGCATCATCACCACAGTCTCCTTTACTCCTCTCTCCCTCCCTCTGAACCCTCTCCTTCCTCCTTTCCTGCAGTATGTCTCTGATTTATTATTGTCTGTTTTTGCTTTGTTGTGTTTTGTACTGTTATTATTTTTTTACACTGATGTCTTATTTGGTTCCCCTATATTACTGCTGTAAGTGAAACCATCCAATACTTTTCCCCTGTTCATGGATTGGAAGAATTAACATTATTAAAATGGCCATCCTACCAAAAGCAATATACAGATTGAACACTATTTCAATAAAAATCTCAATGACATTCTTCAAAGAAATAGAACAAATACTGATGAAATTCATATGGAACCACAAGAAGCTGTGAAGAGCCAAAGCCCTACTGATGAAAACAAAGGAGAAAGGAGGTATCACACTTCCAAACTTCAAGCTATACTGCAAAGCCATAATAATTAAAACAGCTTGGTATTGGAAGAGAAACAGACACATAGACCAATGGAACTGAATAGAGAGCCCAGAAGTAAAGCCACACTTATATGGACAACTAATCTTTGACAAAGGAACAAAGAATATGCAATTGAACATGGACAGTTCGTTCAATAAATGGTGCTGGGAAAACTAGACCACCACATGCAAAGGAATGAAATGAGAACAGTCGGCATTAAATCCTTCAGGAGGTTTTTGATTACAGCTTCCATTTTCTTAATCATGTGGGTGTCATCAGGTATTCTATTTCTTTCTCATTCAGTCTTGGAATGTGAGATATTTCTAAGAATTTATCTATTTCTTTTATGTTACCTAATTTATTGTTATATAATTGTTCATAGTACTCTCTTACAATGTTTTGTATTTCTGTAGTATCTGTTATAACATCTCTTTCATTTCTGATTTTATTTATTTGTGGTTAATCTCTTTTTGTGAGCCTGGCTAAAATGATGTTTGTTACTCATTTCAAAGAATCATATCTTGGTTTTACTGATCTTTTGGATTTTTTTTGATCTCTAGTTCACCAATTTCTTCTCTCATTTTTATTATTTCCTTCCATCTCCTTACTTTTGGTTTTGCTTCTACTTCCTACTCTAGTTCATGTAGGTGTGAGCTTAGATATTTTATTTGTGATTCTCCTGGTTTCCTGAGGAAGGTCTCAGGAAGTTTACCAGAAATTTACTTATATTTATGGAAATTTACTATAAGCATCCTCTTCTTGCATTCCATAGGTCCTGATGTTATGTCTTCATTTTCATTCATCTCGAGGTATCATTGTTTCACCTTTTATTTCCTCATTGATACAATAATTGTTCATTAGCAGGTTATTTCTTCTCTACAAATATACGTTTTTTTTCTCATTCTTTTGTGGTTGATTTCTAGTTTCATACCATTATTATCCAAAAGACACAATATTATTTCAGTCTTCATAATATATTATTTTATTTTGTGTTCCCACATATAGTTTATCTGTGAAAATATTCCATGAGCACTTGAGAAGAATGTGTACTGGTGTTGGGGATGGAGTGCTCTGTAAATGACTATTATGTCCATCTTGTTCAAATTTTATTTAAGACCACTATTTCCTTAGTGATTTTTCCATCTGAATGATCTGTCCATTGATGTAAAAGTTCCCCCCATTACTGTGTTGTTGTCAATGTCTCCCTTTAGGCCTGTTAATGTTTGCTATATTATATATTAGTGCTGCTATGATGGGCACATACATATTGATAATTGCTATGTCTTCCTGTTGTATTGATCCTTTTATCATTTTATAATATCCATCCTTGTCTCTTGCTATCTTTTTTCTGTGGAAGTCTATTTATCTAATATAAGTATAGAGGTCCCTGCTTTTAAATTTTTGATTGGCTTGGAGTACCAATTTCCATCCTTTCATTTTAAGTCTGTTTGTCTTTATAGTTTAAGTGATTCTCTTATAAGGAGCACATAGCTGGGTGTTGTATTTTAACCCATCAGACTATAATATGCCTTTTGATTGGGGAGTTCAGTCCACTTATATTAAGGGTGATTACTGATATATGAGGGCTTTTATGGCCAAAAAAAACTCTTATTGGAAATATAACTATTTTTAAAGTAATTAATACTCTGTATATGTTTCAGCAAGATATTTGCTTTGCTACTAATTGTACCTGGCTTTTACAGAATGCAAAAGGCAGGAAAATTTATATGTTTTAATTACTTCATTTTAACTCCCAGGTAGAAAGAAATAGAAGTGGTCATACAGATTGTGTCTGGAAATGACCCAAGGGGTCTACCTTGCCAACTTGATACTTCTTTCACCTTTGAAGACCTGACCTTTCTACAGTAAATCATTCTACATAAGCCCTAAGTCTAGAACAAAATCCTCAAACAGACAGCTCCAAGAACAAAAACAGCTGAGCAGTGTGCTTGAATCATGATGTCTGCAAGCTGTCCCCAGGGCCCACTTAGAGAGTATACATCTCAGAGAATGTTTTGGAGGGGTGAAAAGAAAAGGAACTAAATATTTTGCAAATAACATCTTTTAATTTTGATCCTGGGCTCACTTTTAATAAAATAAGACAAAAGGAAATATAAGAGAGAAATTTTGAAGAGAAAAAGAGAAGATAACAAAGAGATGTATAATGTAGAAAAGTAGTTAAAATATGGATTAAGATTAACCTAAACTACAACCCCAGATCTTCAGCTTAACAATTCTGTGTTATATCTTGGCCAATCTGATTAATCATTTTGGACCTTTGTTTTTCCATCTGTAAAATAGGTTGGGATAAGTATGTAAAGCATTTAGCATGCACCTGCCACAAGAGTGGACATATTGGAGTGACATATCAGGTGAAGAAAAAGAAAATGTGCCCAAGCTGGAGCATTTTTACTGAAACACCAAAAGCTGAGAGATATGATAGGGAGATGTGGAATGACAAGAGCCTGATTAGAGTGGGGCAGGTGAAAAGCAGTGAGCATAAGAGCTTTTTTAAAGCAAAAAATAAACTGGACTTCAGATCTAGGTATGGAAAATAAAAAGAAAGATCTCTTTTTCTGTATCTTTTTCAGTTTTCTCATTCCCATTTAAGGATAAGCATGTTTCTTTCTTTCACACACCTCTATTTCCTAAATAGAGTTTGGTGTCATCTTCCTCATAACCAGGTTACACAAGATAAAGTTTGCAAATGTGGGGTTGGGCTTGGTCCATACCCCAGCTCTGCCTCACTAGCTATATGACCTCAGGCAGGCAAACTCCCCTTCCAGATTTCCATCTCCTTATTTTTAAAAGAAGGGCATTATTATCCCTCTTTCAGATTATTGAGAGGATAAGTAAATCAATGCATCTAATAAATATCTTCTTAATTGAGAAGCACTTAAAACAGAGTTTGGGGATATAGAGGAATAAATCCACAAAGTCACCTATTATCACTGTTATTATGCTACTACCTTTAATCTTAAGCTAGAATATAGTCAGAGAAAACTCAAAGAATCATCTAACACGAGACTAAGAGGGACATGACAAGGAGAAATCCTCCTGAAATTATAAGTTATTCTAAAACTACCCCAAATGCAAGAACTACTCAGTATCCTAAGTATCACACAGAGGATTTAAACCCATACCTGGCTTGGTGAATGGCCTCCATCCACTCTTTACCATCCTGCTCCTCCTCACAACGTAGCTCCAGTGGCTTCTGACCTTCGTGGCCAAACAGAACAGTAAAGTAGTACTAGAAAGAGAAGTAAACAAAATTCAGTTTTGTTTTCAAGCATGAGATTATAACATGGTATTTTCCTACAAAGGGTTTATGTCTACAAAATACACTGGCATTATGTAAATCCTATTTCAAGACAAAACTCCCATCAAAGAGGCATTAACTTTGCGTCTAGAAGATACCATAGGTTGCATCTTAACACCCCTCAATAAAACTCAACCCATAACATCTCATTAGCTATGGAAAAGGTATTTGATAAAATTCTATACAAACACATGATTTAAATTCCTTGCAAACTAGAAAGTGAAATTTCTGAACCAAAAAAAGGCTATTTACCAAAAGTTTACTGTTAACATTTTACTAAATGATGAATTATTAGAAGCAACCATTCTAAAAACAGAAATTTTAAAATGTGGCAATTATCACTACCTCTATTTACTAATTCTATCTTCAGGGAAATATAAAAAAATTAAGAAAAAAGGCACCAGTAATGAAAAGCAAGGGAAAGATAATTTTTCACAGGTGATATAATTGTCTACATTAAAAATTCATTGAAAATGATTAGATTAAGAACAAATGATAAGCCTTTGGATATAAAGTCAATAAACAAACATTTATTGCACTTTGATAAATCAACAAGCACAAAATTTAATTTGAAAACATTTGTAATAGCAAAGAAAAATGAACAACTTAAGATTAAATATGTTTATTACCTCTAAAAAGTAGAACTAAGGCTACCAGAGGGAGGGGAGAGAACAGAGCTGGGAAGAAACCCAATGGACTGTGGTGGAGGATTATGGGTATTTTGGTGGTGGGTGTGGTGTGATAACATACACCTGAAGGGAGAGAGTCTATACCTCTAAATCACAAACAACATTGTAAACCAATGTCACTTCAATATAAAAACAAATTTTTTAAGTAAATTTAGCTATAATTTCAGTGTATGCAATAAAAATATTATTAGATGTTTTTGGTAGAATTTTCCAAACTGAATCTAAAATCTACATAGAATAACAAAAAGTCAAAATAGTAAAATCACTTTGAAAAATAATAAGGGAGAGACACCTCACCTCACCCCCCAAAGTTTTGCTTACTCACTGTGACAGTTACAAATTCATTTTCTTCGAGCAAATATAAAATCATCTGGCAATAATCCTAGAGATAAGAACAGGGGAGGGGTGGCAGCTCAATGGACTATGGCGGAGGACTCTGGGTGCTTTGGTCATGGGAGACAAAGATGTAAAGCAATAGTACTTCGAGAATATTTTTTGGAAAAGAATTTTCAGCACAACATTATCAAAAGAAAAAAACCTAGCTAACAAACTTCCAGTTGCCTGCACAAAAATCATCAACCAATTGAGGGGTCTGGGTCATGCCTGAGAAATAATCCACCCTACTTGCCCGTGAACAGTCTGAGTCCCAACAAGGACAAGCTGTCTTTAGTTCCTAAACCTCCGTCCAGCCAGAGGACTAAATGTCATAAACTATGGGGAAATAACATGATGAAAAGGCCACTGAGAATGGAAGAATTGAGTTTAGCACTGTATTCAATAAAGCTCCATTTAAATTTGATAGGAAAAGAGTTGAAACTCAATAAAATAACCAATCAATGGCTTAAAGGGCGATCCTATAAGTGCTGGCATTTTAGTACCTGCTAGCTACCATCCAAGCCCAGATGTCCAGGTCAGGGAGAGGTAACAATATACCGGCCCAAGCCATTAAAAAGCTGCAACCTGCACCTCAATGGCAGCTGCTGCCTGGTAACCTAATTAAAAGCCACCTTTAAAAGTCAGCAAGGCAATTACATTAGCACAGTACATCCAAAGGTTAGACCATGTCTCAGGCATAACAATGATGGAAAGAGTTTTGAGAATTACAAGTTACCTTCCCAGGAGTTACATTAACAAATTCAGCTCAATCAAAAAAAAAAAAAATTAAACACCGCCCTCTGTATGTACATGCAAATCCTTTTCAGTGTCTCATCAGAAAGTTCTCTTTGAATATTCTGGGCTCGTTCGGATATGAACTCAGTGTACCATGGATCTCTGTATCAAACCTGGGTCTTTAGCAGTCTGCTTGGGGATGAAGAGTAGCAGCAGACACTCTTGCAGCTAATCTGTGACCTCTGACTTGTCCCACTGCAGGAACTTGGAGGAAAAGTTTCAAAGCTCTGGGTCATTGCGAAATGTAAGGAGAATTATGTCAGAGTGATGAGCTTGTGTATGTTTTTAAATTCAACAATGACAGTGAAAACCTCTTTAGCTCACTGTATATTCTCAGCTGTTCCTGATTCTATTTCTCCAGCCAGACCCTCTGCCAGGAGCCAGCCCTATTTCTCCTATTAGACATCATTTCAATCATGAACTGAACTCACTCCTTTCCACTGCTAATGTTCCTCCTCCTACTCCCTGCCTTAACATCTTCACACCTTCTCTCATCTTTTCTCAGTCAAGAGCATCTTTATCCAAGGCTTGCTCTAACTAGGGCCCACCCCCTGCCAAAATCACACTCACCTCCCTCTCATCAACCCCACATTTGGTTTCACCAGTGCTCTCTTCTAGGATTTCTTCTGACTTTTATTACTCCTCACCTAGACTATAGTAGCAGCTTTATCACAGATGACATATATACTTCCCAACTGAGATTCCATTTCTCATAGCTGTTCGCTCTGCCTCCTTATATCTGGCTGTCACTGCAGCACAAAGTGGAAGGTTAATGGCCTCCAAAGGAGGGCACAATAATCTAGGAGAAGCCCTAGTAACTCGGGATTTTTTTCCTCCATTCAAGGAAAAAGTATGGAGAGAAATGATCAAGGTAGACAGAGAAAGCAGAAGGCAGGGACACATAAGATACAGCTTCTCCCCACTCGGAGTTGAAGTCCCAGAAAAGACTGACTTGTAAGTGTTGACAACAAAGTCAAAGCTGAGGAGCTTCTGCACCACTTTCCTGTGGGTTCTAGAGAATATCATCCCACAGAATAGTCTTACAACATGAGGTGGTAACCATGTCATATAAATCAGTAAAACTGGTATCATGGCAGTGAGGTAGAGACTAAAACCATTTTAAGCTGTTTTCCTGAGCTTTCCTAGCTTCTAAGGGTGCTGATGTTCCTGAGTGTACTGTGGAGGATCAAGTGGGGAAGAGCAGTATCAAACCTCTTGGGGGGAGGGGGTGTGACAGTGGCAGTATGCAGCCCCAGTCAGAACCAAGGTGGGACCAGGTAAGCAAAATGGACAACCAGGCTCTTAACAACCTGAGAGAGAATGAACCACAAATTACAGCAGCCACACATTTCAGCAATAGCAGATGCTCAAGACAGAGCCAGAACAATATCAGACCCCATTTGGCACCAGCAAGGACCCTCCCCAACCCTCTGATACACACACGAACACACACACACACACACACACACACACACACCCTCAGATATGTGAGTTCCGTCTACTGAGACATCACTTAGTGACGCACAGAGGGAAGAATGGATTACCAAGAGACCTTTCACATGATGGAGCAGATTGAGTTTACTTCTCTCAACTAAACACAGCTTCTGTTTGTTCTACTTAGTAAGTGGGGAGGGATTCTTAAAGAGAATGTTAAGTCAGATGTAGAATAATATTTTCTCTGCACATCTAAATGTAGTGACTCAACATCCATTCAGCTTCAACCAGTTCCCACCATCCCAAACAAGAGGGCCTGCATTCTCTTTCTAAAAGATAACTCTGAGCTTTCATGTCTACTTACAAACCCTCAGTGGTATTCGCAAACTCTAAGAGCAAATCTCATGATCATCAAAAATTAGTTCCATTCTCCATTTTTAACCTCACTTTTACCTATTTCCTTCAATGATCACCCTACTTCAGTCATCTCAACATGTCACTTCCACAAGAAGACAAGCTCTTTCTTCAGCCTCATGCTACTGACAGAGTTGCACCTCTGGAGTCCTCACACCTAGGTATGAATCCTGACTCCTCCAAGAGGCAACTCAACTTATGAGACCTTGGACAAGTCATGTAAACTTTATGAGCCTGAATTTCTTCATGGACAAAAGGAGGACAATGACACAGTCCTTACATATTAAATCAGCTGACACCAAGTGCCTGGCACTGAGTACACACTTAACAAATATTAATTCCCTTCTTTATCAGGCTATTTTTTGTCTTTATATTCATTTTTCACTCCCAGTTCTGCCTCTACCTACAAATACTTATTGGACTTTCATGACTCATGTCATTACAATGTCAACTCCTATCAAAATCCTTTCCTGGCACCTCTAGCAAAAAAACAACAGTCACTCTCCTGCTGGGTTTCAGTGACTCCATCATCCTCTTCTCTCACTTTGCCTTTGAGTTGTCCAGACATATACCTCTCTTCCCCGCCAGCCTTGTTCTCTTGTACCCTCGATTCTAGTACTGTTCCAGGCACACAGAAAGCCCTAGATACTGTTTTGTGAGTAAACAATCATCAGTAAAAAAATGAGGTATAATTAATGCAACAAATTTCCTTCACTGACATATGACAATCAATTTTGTTGCTATACAGTCCTAGGTAGCCATACAGAAAAGGGATTTTTACACAGATCTTTAAAATAGTATAGGTAATTTGTTCTCAGGAGGGAAAAAGACCCCTTAAGCTACCAAATAGATATTTTATCATATAATGGAAAACCAGAATATTACAATGATCTCATAAACACATAAAAGCATTACAATGATCTCATGTAACAATATTATAGGTAGAGAAATTCACCAAAGATCCTTACCTACAATGACCATAAAATGCTAGCAGGACAACATAATGAACAGATCTAGGAAACTTAAATAATTCAGTCTTACTGATATCTATTGTAGCCTTCTGGTTTTCCTCACAATGGGTTTGCTACTGTGTAAGCTATATGTTTTTGGAGAGAGAACAAATGTAACCCAATATGAGAATACAATCTCACTTAAAACTCTGGGCCTCAAACTTCTGCAAGTTAGAAACAAATTTATAGCTAACCATGGCAACTTCTAGGGGAA